GGGGGGGGGGGAAAGGGCGGACGGGAGGGAAAATTTGTGGGGAATTTGGGGCGTTTGAAACGAGGGCGAAGAGAACACACACGCAAAGGAGCAAGAGGACGGAAAATATTCGTACGACAGACCGAGAGGGAAGGGGGAGAGAAAGAGAGTCAGTGGGGTGACTTCTCTCTTCTCCTCCCCCCTTTCCCTTTCTCTCTGTCTCTGTCTGTCTGTCTGTCTTTTGGTTTCTTTCGTTTGATGCGGTAATGTTGTTGTCAGCGTCAGTCATGACGGCGGTGATTGCAGTGATGTCCTCCGCAAAATGAATAGCCAGACGTGTATTCCCTGTTCTTCTCCCTCAGGGTTTTTTTTTTTGTGTGTGTGTGTTTGTTTTTGTGTTTTCTTTGCCTCCGTGTAATATTTGTGTGCATGTGACTTGTCGTTTGCAATCATTCCTCTACTTCCAGCGCCACCGTTGCGTCCATACTCTTTTTTTTTTCCCCTCCCGAATCCCCCACACTCCGCACGCACACACGCAGGCGGAGGGGGAAAGAGAGAGAGAGAGAGGGAGAGTGGGTGACTGAAAAGAAAGAAAGAAAGGAGAGACTCATAGGTCGTCTTTTGACGTTTTTGTTTGTTTGTTTTGTGTGTGTGTTTGGTCGTTGATTTTTTGTTTTGTTTTGCTTTTATCTCTGAACGTTCCTGTGCGACATTTTCCCTGGTTTTGTTGTTGTTGTTTCTTTTTCTGCTTCTTCGTGTGAAACTTCTGTCTTTTTTGACCCCTTCTGAATATTCTGTGCGTGTGAGACCACACGTCCGTGTATATATGCATGCATACATATATATATATATATATATATATGCATGTGTGTATATATGGATGGTCTTAGGTTTATTATTATTATTATTATTTGTTGATGTTTTTTTCTTGTTTTGGGGGGGTTTCCTTTTCCTTCTTAACCCACCACCCCTTCCCCCTCCTTCCTTCCCCCCCCCCCCCCCCCTCTTGATTCATTCATTCATGCCGCGGCTCATGTGCCCGGAACTGTGCTCTGGAAACGAGGGGGAGGGGGAAGGATGGAAGGGGAATGAGAGAAATGAGGGAAAAAATAATGGGATGCGTCTTGTAGAGGAAGCGAGAGCATTTGGATGGAAGGGAAACAAAAAAAGGAAGGAAGGAAGGGAAGATGTGTTGTTGTTTCTTTTGTTAAAATGTATATATTTATATACGGTTTGGAGCTTGACAAGGTGGTTGCGTAGCGGGAATGGTGTCAATGAGAGAATGTACAACGAAATGATGATGTGTGGAAAAGAGAAAAGAGAGAAAAGCGATGATGTCTGAAGTACAGGCGTTTCTTGTGCGAAGTCCAGCCCTTTTTTTTGTTTTTTCTTTTTTCTTTTTTCTTTTTTTTTTTTCTTTGGTAATGTCGACACCACCGCAAGAATATACCCTTTCCGTTTATTTCTTCCACTTATCTATTTTAACACACACACACACACGCACGCACACATTACATATGACATGACATTGCATTATATATACATGCATAAATATAAGGATATATATATATATATATATATTTATTTATTTATATTGTAAAATGTAATATGCCTCTCTTTTGACTTATATATATGCGTACATGTATAATTGCAGAATTCTTCAACGCTCACTTCATTTTCTCTTTTACTTCTTTCTTTCTTTTTTTTTTTTTGTTTTGTGCGTGTGTGTGGTGTTTGTTGGTTTGCAGTTATTTTTCCGTGCGTTTTTCTTTCACTTTCTACATATATATATTTATATATATCTTTTGTTAGCCGTCTTTTTCTTTTCTTTTCTTTTTTTTTTTTTTTTGATTTCTTTGGTTTTCCTTCCAGCTGTGGAGGTAACAAAGAGGAATTTGGGTCTGTGGTGTATTCTTTTTCTCTGGCCACTTAGTCTCTTTATCCCTCCCTCTCTGTTTATTTTTTGTTTTTGTTTTCTTCTTTCTTCGGCCGTTTCTTTCTTTTTTTTTTTTTTTCTTTTTTCCTTCCTTCCTTTGTTTGTTTGTTTGTTTGTTTTTCTATCTGAGATGATACACGCACGGCCACATGTTTGTGTGTGCATATGATTTGTTGTTGTTTTTTGACCTTTTTTTTTCCCCCTTCTTTTTGTTTTCTTTTTTTTTTTTTTTACATGAAGTGATATCTCCGCGTCAATACGCAAAGCACCTTTTTTCTTTTTTCTTTTTTCTTTTTTTTTTTTCGCCGTGGCGTTTTCTTCTTGTTGTTTTTTCTTCTGTTTTGTGGAAGAGGAGGAGGAGGAGGAGGAGGGTCCCGTCTTATTTAATCGCTGCTTGCTGCATTGTGGGCGTGTGTTGTTTGTTTGTTTGTTTTTCTTTGTTCACCAGCCTCACGCCCCCCATCCTTTCCTCCCCTATCAAAGATGATTAAGCCGCACACACACACGGAGAGAGAGACACAAACACGCACAAAAAGAGGGAGAGGGGGCGCAGTGTGAAGGCAAATTTGAGGCCTTTGTTTCCTCCCCTGTTTCGCACCGCCCCAATCACCCACCACCACTCCGCGTCTACATGCGTGTGTGTACGCCAGTAGTCGCATGTAGGAAGGAGAAGCGACGCGTTTGGCCCTCGACGGCTGTGCCTCATGTGAGTTGCCAACGGCCGTCGTGGTGCGGAAGGAAAGGAAGGAAGAAAGGGGGAGACAAAAGGAGGAAAATCAAAAGGGGAGTTGGGTGTGGAGGGGAAATGGAACGCAAGGAGAGAAAAAAAGGAAATGATCCAAAATAAAAACGCAAGGAAATAAGTCACGTGGCTTTACCCGTGTCAAACCTCCCACTCCAACGCATGTATCTATCTATTTCTCTATCTATCTATCTACATGTGTGTGTGTGTTCTTTATGTGTATTTATCTAGCATCTTTTATGTTATTGTTGTTGTTTTTTCTTGGTGTTGTTGTTGTTGTTGTTACATCCTTTGAAATGCAGCCGTCATAACCCTCCTTTCCTCTTCCTCTCTCCCTATCTATATCTATATCTATCTATATATATATATATATATATCTGTCTGCATCTACCGATAAATATCTTTTTTTTTTTTTCCTTTTTTTTCTTTTTTTGGTTTCTTTCTTTCTTATTTGTATGCGTTGTGAGCCTCTTTTGATTTTTGTTTGTGTTTTGAATGCACCGTAAGCACTTTTTTTTTCTTTTTGCTGTACTCTCAGTTTCGTACACGCGCACACAAGCAACGCAGCGTCTGTAATATCAACCCCAGATGTTTGCGAAAATATATATAAACTTACAGGCACGCTTTTTTGGTTTCCTGAATTCAATTCCTTGTCTCCACCTTTTTTTTTTTTCTCTTTTCTCCTTCTTGTCGTTGTTGTTGTTGTTGTTTTTTTACTTATCTTTCCTACTTATTTTGGTTTTTTGGGAGCTTTTTATTTGGTGACTCATAAGGTGTCTTGAATGTCCGTTCATATGCCTCTGTATATATAAAAATATATGTATTTTTTTTTTTCCTTTGTAACTACTGTGCACATCCGTCTGATATATATATATATATATATATTTATTTATTTATTTATTTAGTTTTATATATATATATATATAAATCCATATCTGCATCGTACTTTAGATCTCTCTTTCTCTCTATTTATTTATTTTTACCTACTTTATATATACGTATATATATGTACACCTTTTTGTTTGTTTTTGCATGGGACGACATGGAGGCAGGGGAGCGGTTGAGACTGCACGGGGAAGGGAGGGGGGGGGGGGGGGGGGGGGGAGAAAGAAACACACATGTAAATACATACATACATATATATATATATATATATATGTGTGTGTGTGGAAAGGAGACAAGGCTCCTCTCACTTTTTTTTATCGTTCTTTGGTCTTGGCACCTGTTGATGTACGAGGAGGGAGATGAGGAATATACCCTCCATGCTTGTATGTACGTATACAATTGCACGGCAAGATGCGCTTAAACCTTGAGAATTGAATGTACTTAGCGTTTTATTTTATTTTATTGTATTTTTTCCTTCTACGTAAC